CAGGGGGTAGGGTGGGCAGACAGAGCTGGGTCACCTGGAGCTGGGGGTGGGGGTGGGGGAGCAGAAGAAGGAGGAACATCTGGATTAGCCAGTGGCGCATGTGGAAGGGGGCAGGCGGCAGGGCCAGGTGGGAGCAGCTGAGTGGGGACCCTCCCCCCCAACATCTGGGCACAGCTGTGATGCATCCCCCACCCCCTCCTCTACCCCACTACTCTGCTCACATTGGTGAGGAGGTCCGAGTGGGAACAGGGTGGGGGCTCCCTAGTAGAGGCCTACTCTTCTGGCCTCTCCCCCCATACAGCATCTGGCCACAGCTGGAATGGCCCATGCCCTGCCCTGCTGCTCACACCTGAAGGGCGTGGGAACATCTGGGCAGGTGGGTGTATTTTGCTAGGTGGACCTCCCCCAACAAATATCTTAGACCCTGGCATACCTGGGTACATTTAGAAGAGGCCCCTTTCCCCCCCTCACAGCTGGATAGGCTCCCCAAGCCTCTGTATGGGTGAGATGACCACCCCTGCACATCTGGATGCATCTGGGCTCCTCTGTGTCCCCCCACCCACATCTGGAATGGCTCATTCCCCAGGGTTGGGGGTGGAGGGTAGTCCCAGGTGTCCCCCCCTCTTCCTCACAGCTGGCTGCACATCTGCCTCAAATTTGGCGGGGGGGTGTCTCTGCCTGGGGTTCCCACCCCTGACAACCAAGTCTAGCCCCTCCTCCCCCCGCCCCCAGCACTTCTAAAATAGACCCCGCCACACACACACACACACATCTGGATGGGGGGCTCCAGAAAGACCCATCAAACCCCTAGGCACATGTGGAACAGACCCCCCCCCCACAACGCCCTCCTGTTTTGTTCACGTCTAGATGGGGCCTGAAAACAGCCACCCACACCACTCCAAAGGACCTCCCTCCCAACATGTGGCCACATCTGAAATAGCACCCTCAGCTCCTCCTGGTTCAACATCTGGGTACATTTGGAATAGCTACTTCTCCCCCGCACCGGGTTCACATTTGGGCAGGGGCAGTGATGCCTAGTGGTGGGGTCTCACAGCTGTTGTGGGGGCAATCTGGAATAGCCCTGCCCCACTCAACCTCTGGGGCCACAGCTAGACCAGCCTGCCCCATTCCTCCTCCACCCTCCGGAGATCTCCCCAGGTCCCCCCAGGCACCGCAAAGCTTCTTGGGAGGCAGAAGAAAACCCCTTGTGCCCAGAGGCTGGTCGCAAAGGATTCTGGGAAACCTCCAGCTCCATCTGGGGTCTCAAGCCCCCCACCCCCATCTCAGAATCCTTTGTGCTCCACAGGACCCAGGGACCCTGCTGCTCCCAGCAGCTTTTGCAGTGCTGCCCCCACACAGCCCC